TTCAAATATCTTCTTTAAGTAATAAAACCAAATAATGAAAAAATGAAACTCATCACAGCTTTACTTTTTACTTTTTGCTTTACTCTTTGTTCCTATCTTTTTCGTTTTGTCACTAAGTTGGTTCTTTCACCATAATGAAATATTCCACTTAATTCTTGCTGACAGAAAAGGCCTGAAATGGCTAAAGACTTCATGTGGAAAAGCAGAGGATTTAGGAATAAGCATTTCTCCCCTAACACTAAAGAACAGGTAAAGCTACGCTTATTACCCAGATCTACCTGATGCAAAATCCAGGCTCATTTTTCTGTACCAGGCAGTGTCATAGTGTTCTGATGCACTCAATAAATTAATTTATAAACTTGAGTAAATTAGTATTGTCTGTCAATAATATAAAATGAATGTACAAATGTATATCTTTTATTCCTAAAGAATACTCATTTATTAGGAGAATTAACATTGCAAAGCTTTTATGTCATTAGTTAATCCTGAGTTTCATTGAACAGCTATAAACAATTCTTTTGTTAGAAATCTTGGAAGGTAATAGAGTTGACTCAAATTGACTAAAATGACTACATGTACTGTGTTGCATAGAAAATGCAGCATGTTAAAAATGCATTTAAGAAAAATGATTAAATCTATTTAATATGTAGGATGTTTTTGTAGCAAACATTTGTAAGTATTTTTATTACTGTTACAAATGTAATGTGTATAGCTGAAATTGTTTTGGAAAGGGATTAGTGTCTTAAGCATGTTTTTTATCTGTTATTAAAGTTTGACATGTTTATAAAATACATATTCAATTACATAGCTTAACAAGGGACAATTTTGCTGTTCAGTTATTTAAGAAAAAGCTAAGGTACATAATCAAAAAACAAAAACAAACAGCATTTTTAAATAGAAATATTTAAAATACCCTATGTTTTCTTTTCCTAGTTATAACTCATATATCACTGAGCTGTGAAAACAAGAAGTATTTTTATGATAATGTTTTCTTTTTAATTTAATTTAATTTTTTTATTGATGTCACGTTGGTTTATAACGTGTAAATTTCAGGTGTACAACATTATATTTCAACTTCTGTATAGACTACATATGTTCACCACCAATAGTCTAGTCTCCATCCGTCACCATATATATGTGCCCTTTACCCCCTTTCACTCTCCCTCCTCCTGGTTATGATAATGTTTTATTAATTGTGTAGAAGTTTCATATAATAGTTTAGGCAAGGTGAGGAGTGATACTAATTAATGGGAAGTTCCTTTAAAAAATATGTGGAATTGTAATAGTCCTAAGACAACCTATAGAAACCAAAAGTGTTTCTTCCTAGCTGACCATATGACCCTAAATAAGTCCTGCATTGTTATAATGTTGACATCTCTTTCAAAAGTGTAAAGTGGTTATTAATACCTTAATTCCTTGAAGGATAGTGCTATTCTTTGAGGTCCCTTCTAGTTTTTAAAGCAATAAATGTTCTAGTTTTGCATTGTTTATAATTGAAATAATAAGTTTCAGAGAATCTTAAAAACTAGCTTATATTTCTTTATGCAATAATGAAATTTTGATGATTAAGTTATGATTAAACCAGTAATAACTTTCAGAAGTGAACAGTAGTTTTAGCAGTAAATACTTATGTTTCTAGATGTGAAGAAAATACTTCACAAGTTTGAAATCAATTATCCATTATTTTTGTCACAATTGCTAAGTTTTATACATGCAATACATTTCACATTTGCTAACACAAAGCAGTATTTTGTTCCAAATGTAGAATTGTGGTTACAGAGCAAATAAAACTATAGGTTGCTCATTTTCATTTTCCTCTCTTTTAGGCATTTCAGCTGTCAGGAAAATTGATTACACTTTACATTATTTTGAATGCCTTAATTCCTTGAAAGTACCCATTACTTAATTAATATCACTTAGAATTAAAGAACCCTTTATCTTAGCTATCTTTAAATCAATTAAGTGCTGAGTGGTTTGGGGAAACAATGTCAGCAATTTTGGGTCATTTGTATTTGTAGAATACAGTATATCTGTCTCAAAGTGTTAACTCTTGTAATAGGTGGTAAAATATTCCTGGTTACACTAATTCGTATTTGAAATAAAACCCTGCCTGAGTCATACTGGATTGTGGAACATGAGGGGAAAATATTAGTGAGAAGAGAAAGGCACTTTTTTGTTTGTTTCTAAAGACATTTAATGACTAAGGCTATAAAGGCAAAGAAAACTGAGGGACAGTATCTCCAATATTGACCAGTGATTTATGTTCTGCTTCTAGTGTTGTACAAAATCAGTAACATGTAAGGAAATCCACACTATACATTTTTTAAAATTTCACTCAGTTGTGAGTTAATATTAGCTAATGAAGTCCCTCCCTCCGTTGTTGACACATGCAGCATAGTCTTACTGAATTTTCTTTATTTGCTCATTTTGTCCCAAAGCTCTGTCATATTCGCTCTGTTGCACATTATTTCATCTGAGTTACAGCAGTGTTTGGTTATCATTTTCTTGAGAATTATTTTATTGATGTTCTTTTCTCTTGATAGTGTAGAGGGTTCACAAGTGGAGTTGTCAGTCTCCTTGCTTTGTTTTTATTTTTGTTCTTTAGAGAATCTGAAACTTTCTGAATTCTGCCCGGAATAAATAGTTTCTCTAAAATAAACAACTCCATGTTACAGCATTAGAACTTTCCAATTAGAGTAAAACTACTAATCTTCAAGCTCTCAGAATAGTACATAGTTCTAGCCTGTTCTAGCCTGTCATGCATGCCCGAGCATATTTTAGGAAGTCCCCAGAACATTATATTACCAGGAGATAAGGTGTTTTTATTTTGTTTTGAGCTCATGTATGTTGATAGGTACTTGAAAAGAGTATGTAGTTAATGATTTGCTGTGTTTTGGTAATTTTTTTCATAATGATTAATTCTGAGAATTTTTGTCATTACTTGTTAAGATCTTGTCTTCTAGGTAGAATGTGCTTTTTAAAACAGTCTGCATGCTAAGTAAATGGACATAAAATATTACCTTAAGAGGTTCTTTTCAACACTTAGAATATGATATACCCAATTTCAGTTTGTTGGTGTGATTACAAAGAAGCAGCAGAGACACGTATCTGAGATAGTACCAACATTATTTGTGATTTTTTTTTTAATTTAACAAATTTAAATCTGGTGCTCTTCATCCAGCCTAACCACCATTTAGCATTTCTTGGATAACATAAAATTTGCAGAACTATGTATATAGCTCACTACCAGTTTTAAAATATGTAACCTGAAATCATTCCAAAATATTTTAAGACCAATTTGGCAAAGCCTTTGTTTTGTAAATAGCATGGAACTTTGTGTAGGTTTAAAAATAATCTTAGAATTAGTTACAGATGATTTAAAGTTTGTCATTCTTTCTTGGGGGCAAAATATTTTGTCTTAAAACAGACAGAGTACCACAATGCTGACCACATATAATTATGCAGTTTTCATTGTTTCCAGTCAAGTTATTGTGGACTACTATGTAGCTAGATTGATTCTGTTATTCAAGTCTCAATTTCAAAGTTTCTGTTTTGATTTTATTAACTATATTTGGTCAAGACATTTTGAATTTTGGAATTTATGATACTCTACCTTGTACCCACTAAGTATCACCATTCACAATTCAAATGCATTTTTAGATTTCTTTAATATATATATTTGTAGTATGACCCACTTAGTAATTTATTTGATATTTTTTTTGTTCCTGAAAAATAATGTGAAGCTAAAAGTACAATGTGATCCTGGTTCTGATTCTGTGAGGGCATGTCCAAAACTACAGGGGGAAAAAAAAAGACTTCAAGGAAATACACAATGTATAGTGCTTATTATCGTGAGTGGCAGGGTGAAAGGTAGATTATGACTGGTTTTGACCTTTTCGTATGTTACGTTTTCTGAATTATCTTCAGTACGGTACTAGTACCTCTCTAATTAGAAAATAAATAAATATTTTCATTTGTTTTAAAATAATTGAGTTACTTAAAAAGTAGCTTACTTAAAAAGAACTTAAAAAAAACTTACTTAAAAAGAAGTTGATACTGTACAGTCTATACTGATAAGTGCTACTAGAGTTGCAAAGTCAAAATATAAGTCATAGGAACATATTTTCCATCAAATTGGCTTCCCAATAGTAAATGTTTACTGTATTGTAATATGGAGTATGGTTTTAAAAATTATTTCGCAAAGTACTTTATCGATAGCCAGAAAACATAAGATGGTTTTAGCTCATAAATTTATATTAATGAATTCATCTCTAATAAATTTATAAAGGAGGAAAAGAATATTGCTTTTAATCCTGAAATTTATGAGTGATTTTTTTAATCAAGTATACTTATTTGAAAATAACATATTATACATAGGAATCACCAAGGGAAGACCGAAATGCATCCTGGGTTTTACCACCAGAGGTTCGGATTAAGTAGTTCTGAAGTAGAAACCAAGAATCTGTATTTTACATAAGTACTCAGAGGATTCTGGTGCAGGTGGTCCAACAGACCATAGTAGATTGTTTATTCTTTTCCTGTCTCATTCTTCACTCAGATTTGTGGTCACCTTCAGTCCATACAAAGATTGTTGCATTTTCCTAATTTAACACATTTTCTATGGTCTGCAAGGTGTACTGCACACATCCCCAGCAGTTGCACAGCACAACCCACTAGAGTACGGGAAGAGAAAGCTAGAACTTCTATTTATATTTTATGTCATTTCCTTAATTTCTATTTCTGTATTTTTATAATATACATAATTATTGATATAGTAGTATATTATAATAAACACAAATATAAACATTTTTCAAAGATAGCTTTTAAGTAGTATGTAAATTTTTTAGCACATTGGTCTCTGGGATACTATCTTCACTTTTTATGATGCCATATTAAATGTTTTATATTTCAAATTTAGACAATAGACAACTTAGTATCAAGTGACAATGAACTGAATCTTTATATCTGTGCTTTCCTACCCCCTTCATTCCCTTCATCAGGTGATGCTTTTCCTTGGACTGTCAGCTTGCATCATTTCAGCGTATATACCCTTTTTGGAAAACAGGTGACACTTTGCCTAGTGGAACCTATGGGTTGCACCTCTACACTAGCTGTTACCTCTCAAAAACTACTTGCTACAGGACCTGATACAAGACATTCATTTGTTGTTTGCCTCCATGTTGACCTGGAGTCACTTGAGATAAAATGCTCGAACCCGCAGGTTGGTACATTTGATATTTGAAAGGAAATTTAAAATGATGTGATTTAAGAACAATTGTTATCCATTTTGTTGCAGGATTTCTCTTCTATTAAGTGTCCTAAGTTATTTTGAACAGTGCCATCAAGATCAGAATGGTTAGATTAAGAATTGCTTTGAAGCTCTCTCAAGTTTTGTAATTTAAACTCTTCTGAAGGGGGGCTGGCCCCGTGGCTGAGTGGTTAAGTTCGCACGCTCCACTGCAAGCGGCTCAGTGTTTTGTTGGTTCGAATCCTGGGCGCAGACATGGCACTGCTCATCAAACCACGCTGAGGCAGCGTCCCACATGCCACAACTAGAAGGACCCACAACTAAGAATATACAACTATGTACCAGGGGGCTTTGGGGAGAAAAAGGAAAAAAATAGAATCTTTAAACTCTTCTGAAAATGTAATGGTGGCAGTATAAATGCATCTTTTGACCGATGGAATGAAATCAGTTGCAGATGTAGAGTTTTTTAAATGCTGAAGAACTGCTTTCCTGTCAGACTGGAAGAGTCTGTGTAAGTGATCAGATGTAATTTCCATTCAGATTGTCTCTCAGAACTTCTTTTGCTCAACATGTAATATTTTTTTAAAAATAGTGCTGTTTGCTATTTAAAAAGGCATTTTGTTAATTGTATAACATTTCAGTTGGTATAAGCCAAACATGTTGTATTCTGCAGTTTTACAATTTAATATGAATTCAGATCACCTAATAATTTTGTACAAATTATTAATCACGTACAATTAAATACTTGTTTCTCTGACCTTAAGCAGACTGTAGTATATTTTCTACATAGATGGTCAATGTTGAATACTATTCGAAATTATATTTTTAAAACAGTACTTTTTAGAATATTATTAAATCTGACAGGTCAATGTTGATAATCTGTATTTATCCCAGCATTAGTGGTTACAAGGTAGTTTTTAAAATGTATTTTTTCAAGTTGGTTCAAATACTATTCCATATTTTATAGAGCCTCCTTACCATCTTTATTCTTTCTCCTTTTCTGTTTGCCTCTTCCCCCTATTGTATACTATGCAGTTTGGTTTAATTTTAGTATATGTTTGTTCATTGTGAAAAGATTGGACCTGCTAATATATTGGGGATGGCCTTATTGTAAAAATGCATATAATTAGAATTATGATGAGGCAGCTACATTAAATGAACACTGTTGTAACATCTGAAAGCTTGTCCTCTATTATAAAAATCATTTCTTTTATAATTAGTAGTAAATACTTTTGAACAATATTAATATTCCAGTTTAATGGCCATTTACCTTTCTCTTATGACGCATAGTGGTATAAAAGAGGATAATCTTGAAATGACTTACTCTCTCTTAGATTATTCTCTGAATGCTGCTGCTGATGGTTGCTGAAAAACATTTCCAAGAGGAAGGGAAACTGTTATGGATTAAATTGTGTCCCTCTCAAAAGATATGTTGAGTTCCTAATCCCCAGTATCTCAGGATGTGATTTATTTGGTAACAGGGTCATTACAGAGGTAATCAAGTTAAAGTGGGGCCATTAGGGTGATCCCTAATCTAATGTGACTGATATCCTTATGAAAAGGGGAACTTTGGATGCAGACACACACAGAAGGAAGTAGATGTGAAGACACACAGAGTGTCATGTGAAGATGGAGGCAGAAATTGAACTGATCCAGCTTCAAACCAAAGAATACAAGGATTGCTAGCTACCACCAGAAGCCAGGAAGAGAGGCAATAAAGGATTCTATTCAAGAGTCTCAGAGAGAACATGGCTCTGCTGATACCTTGATTATGGACTCTAAACCCTAGAACCGTGAAACAGTAAATTTCTGTTGTTTTAAGACACCCAGATTATGATACCCTTGTATGGCAGCTCTGTCAAAAAGATTGCAGAGAAATTAGATTCACTTTCTTTTGACCCTTTGTCACAGAAGTTGTTAGAAAGGAAAGCATAAGAAATCCAGTTCTAACATAACAGCTGAAGCCCACCTCAGCCCATCCATCCCACTGATTATTTCTATACACTCTGGGGGAAAAAAGCAAAAGCTAACTACAAAATGAACATTCCCAGTTTGTTTTAAAATACAGTCATGTGCCACATAACAAAGTTTCAGTCAACAACAGACAGCATATGTGGCAGTGGTCGCATAAGATTAGTACCATATAGCCTAGGTATGTAGTAGACTGTACCAACTAGGTTTGTGTAAGTACACTCTATGATATTCACACAACAACAGAATCACCTAATGACGTGTATCTCAGAACATATCCCCATCATTAAGTGACAAATGACTGTAATTGAATTACAAATAAGACTTTAAAGTAGCTCCTATAATTTTTTTCGTGGGGTGTAAAGGAAAGCACGCTGAATGAAAAAGATAAGAATTCTCAATAGGGAAATAATAAGTATAAAGAGAATGAAATGGAATTTCAGATTTGAAAATACAATACCTGAAAGAAAAATACCATGCCATATGGGGTTAGTGGTGGCCTGCATATGACAGAAGAAAGAGTCACTGAGCTTGAACATAGAGCATAGAAATTACTGAATTTGAAAAACAGAGAGAAAGAAAGGTATTTTAAAAATGGCAAGAGTCTCAGCAGCTGTGAGAACAAAATACTCTAACATATGTATAATTGGAGTTCCAGAAGGAAACAAGAAAAAGATTGGGGCAAAAAAGGTGAACAAATATTTGCAGAAAACTTCCCAAATTTGCAGAAAAAGATAGGCTTTTACATATTCAAGAAGTTCACTGAATCCAAAGCATATTTATCTTTGAGTATAAACTCAAACAAAAACATTCTTCAGCACATTGTGCTTAAAATACTGAAAACCAAAGATAACTTTTTAAAAATCTTGAAAGCAGCTACAAGAAGACACGATACATAGGTTTACGATCATTTGAATGAGTGCAGATTTCTCATTAAAAGCCATAGAGGAAGACATTGGAACAATATCTTTAAAATGCTAACAGAAAATAAATGTCAAGACAGTGAAGATATCCCACAGAAATCACAGTGAAATGAAGACACTGTAGATGAAGGGAAACTAAGAGAATTTGTCATGACCAGCTGTGTTTCACAAGAAATACTAAAGGAAGTTTTCAGGATAAAGGAGAATGATACCAGATGAAAACTTGTATCTTCAAAAAAAAAGGAAAACTAATAGAAATGGTGAATAGCTTGGTAAGTTTTCTTTAAAAAACTATTAAAAAAGATATGTATGAGTGGGGAGCTGTCTAAGATGGTGTCTTAGCCTGAACTCACCTCCTCCCATGGGCACACCAAATCTACAACTACATATGGGACAATTCCGTCTGAAATAGAACTGAAAATTAGTCAAACTGCTCCTCTGCAACAACAAATAAAAGGACCACATTGAGATAGGAGAGGCAGAGATGCAGTCTCACCAAAACCCCATCCCTAGCATAGCACCTCACAATAGGGAGGGATCTCAGAAGTCCAGAGCTTCTCCTAGAGGAACAAGGAGTTTTTGCCCTACATCAGTCACCCTAACCCTTGTGATTTGCACTAGAGGGATGAGCCCCCAAATTGTCTGGTTTAGAAAATAAATATGGTTTACATCCAAAGGACACAAAGGGCAATAGGGAACTGAGATTCTCCTTTTAAATGGCTCGCATGTGGTCTCACTTGCCCTGGGACACAGCACAAAAGCAACAGTTTGAAAAGCACCTAGACTATATGTGAAAGAGATTCACTTGCTAGTATTAAAACATCTGCTGGAGGAGCAGGGAACAGTTTGGACTCTCTGAGGACTGAGGCACTAGTGGACATCATTTGTGCACTCTCCCTCTACCCTCCTAGCACAGGCAAGTGTGTGCAAACATGACACCTTCCCACTGCCTTGCTAAAGTAAGACTAGCAAGTGCAAGTGGCCATGGCATCCTCCTAGTCTCTTGCTAAAGCTGGTGGACATACACAGTCCAGACATTTTCCCACTCCCCTCTGAAGCTGGCAAGTATGCCTCACTCCCTACACTCTCCAGCTGCCTCTCTAAAGCCAGGAGGCTATGCATTACACACAGGGAGACACTCCTTGATCACCTGGCCCCGTGGGCCAAGGGGACTTGCATTCTTGGGCTCCATAGGACTGTAAAAGTTGGAAAGACAACTATAGGCTCCATCAACGGATAGATTATCCAGACAGAAAATCAATAAGGAAACATCAGCCTTAAACAACACATTAGACCAGATGTATTTAATATGTAAATGTAGAACATTTCATCCAAAAGCAGCAGAATACACATTCTTCTCAGGTATACCTGGAACCTTCTCCAGGATAGGTTACATGTTAGGCTACAAAACAAGTCTCAGTAAATTTAAGAAGATTGAAATCATATAAAGCATCTTTTCTGACAACAGTGGTATGAAACTTGAAGTCAATTACAATATCAAAACTAGAAAAATCAGATATGTGGAGATTAAACCACATGCGACTGAACAACCATTGGGTCAATGAAGAAATTAAAGGAAAAATCAAAAAGACCTAGAAACAAATGAAAATGGAAATATGACTTACCAAAATCTGAGATGCAGCAAAAGCAGTTCTAAGAGGAAAGTTCATAGCAGCACAGGCCTACCTGAAGAAACAAGGAAAATCTCAAATTAACAATCTAACTTTATACTCAAAGGAACTAGAAAAAGAACAACCAAATCCAAAAGTGAGAAGACTACGGTGAACAATTATACAGCACCCACTTGGACAACCTAGAAGTAATGAATAAATTTTTGGAATCTTAGAATCTTCCAAGACTGAATCAGGAAGAAGTAGAAAATCTGAACAGACCAATTGCTAGTAAAGAGATTGAATCAGTAATCAAAAACCTCCCCACAAATAAAAATCCAGGACCAGACGGCTACACTGGTGAATTCTACCAAACATTCAAAGAAGATTTAATACCTATCCTTCTCAAACTCTTCCACAAAAATTGAAGAAGAGTGAATGCTTCCAAACTTATTTTACAAGGCCAGCA